CGAGGAGGAGGAGGCCGTGGTGGGGTGGCAGGAGAAGCTCTTCAGCCAGGTGTGTGCGGGAAAGGGCTGCTGGGGTTTCGACCAGGCCAGTTCGTATGGTTTGAAACTTGGGTTTCCTTGGTAACCTCTGCCTCTGCGCAGAGTTCGCTGCGTTCGCTCAGTGTTGACCATTCCCCCCCTACACAGGCAGGGCCCCCTGAGCCCCTGCTCAGGAATGTGTCCAGCCGGCTCTGTAATCTCCCCAGTGAGGGAGAATCTACAGCCTCTCTGGGCAGCCTGGTCAGTGCTTGGTCACCTCACAGGAAAGAAGTTCTTCCTCGTGTTCAGGTGGAGCTTCCTGTGCATCGGTTTCTCTTGTTCCATTGCTGTGCTCCACGGAGCAGAGCCTGATCCACCCTCTGACTCCTGCAGGCACTGACAGACGCTGATGTGGTTCCTTCTCAGTGTCTTTTCTGGAGGCTGAACAGCCCCAGCTGCCTCAGCCTGTCCTGGTGAGAGAGATGCTCCAGTCCTCACAGCCTCCCCTGGTCCTGCTCCAAGAGCTCCATGTCCCTCCTGTCCTGTGATGTGCTCCACGGAGCAGAGCCTGATCCACCCTCTGACTCCTGCAGGCACTGACAGACGCTGATGTGGTTCCTTCTCAGTGTCTTTTCTGGAGGCTGAACAGCCCCAGCTGCCTCAGCCTGTCCTGGTGAGAGAGATGCTCCAGTCCTCACAGCCTCCCCTGGTCCTGCTCCAAGAGCTCCATGTCCCTCCTGTCCTGTGATCCCAGACCTCAGCACAGCACTCTGGACCTCCTCCAGGAGCTCTCCTGTACTGAGGAGCCCAGAACTGGACAGGCTTGGAGGAGTCCCTCAACACTCCCCTTTTCACAGCTCCCTGTTCCAGGGTGAACTGCTATGCCTGAGCCCTTCCAGGTGGGCATGGGTGGGTGCTGCTGGCTGCTGCCTGCCTGAGCAGAGTGGGAGCCACTCTGGAACTCAGCTTATTTGTGGAGATTCCCAAAGGGTCTTGTCTCTGTGATGGCTTTGGAAGCCTCAGCTGCAAAGTGTTTGTGGTTCTGGCAATGCTGGTGAAAGGCAGCTGTGTGTCTTACCTGTGGTGCTGTCAGTTTGAGGTGGATCTATACCTGAATGAGTCAACCTGCCAGACTCCTCTGGACCGGCAGTACCATGAGGAGATCAGGAAACTGGAGAGGGCTGGAGGTCGGAAGAACTGTCGCATCTTCACCTACACCGACCACGACCGATTCACCAGCCTAGAGGAGGTACCAACTCTTAGTTACTCAGTGTCCCTCAAAACTTCCAGGCCTACTGCAGAGGAAACATTTGCTGGTTCTTGGCCCTGCAGAAGCCAGGCAGATACCCTGTGTGCAGGAGAACGCACTGCTGGAAAGCAGCTTCACCTGGTGCCCCAGACCTGGGTGGGATGTCCCTGTTTCAGGATGATGATCAGGACAGCTTGGAGGGACTTCATCATCATCATAGAATTTTAGGGATTGGAATGGACCTTACAGATCATCTAGTCACAACCCCCTGCCCTGGGCAGGGACACCTCCCCACCAGACCAGTATGCGCAAGGCATCCAGCTGGGCTTTGAACACTGCCAGGGGTTGGGGAAGCCACCACTTCCCTGGACGACCTGTTCCAGTGTCTCACCACTTGGCTTTGTAGCTCACTGGGTGGAGTGAGCTGTAATTTGCCACCAGAACAGTGAAGGAAGTTGATAGTCATTGAGCAGTTTGTCCTTGCATATGGGTGCATACATACCTGTTCTCTACTTTGAGAGGAGATCTGTGTTTGGGAAAAATGTCCTAGTACAGTTAAGCTAGTTTCTGTCTGTTCTCTCTTCCAGCTCTGCCAGAAGGTCACTGACTCAGATCATGAGGTGCCGTCATATCTGGCTGAGAGGATGTCCAATGTGAGGAGGAGAAGACAGGACCGTAGGCCAGTGTGAGTGCCCACTGGGGCTCAGAGCTTGCTTGTGTAGGTGTCCTGGTGCTGGTGCCCCAGCTGTGGTGCAGCCAGGCCCATGGAAGCTGGTGGCTTGAGCTGTGTCACCCATGGGATCTGGCAGTGTGACTCCTCGTCATGGGGGGTTTGGTGCTGCCTGTGCCAAGCTGCTGAGGTGAGCTGTGACTGGTGCTGTTCTGTTGTTGACAGAGAAACAAGTTCCCTGAAGTCAAAAATCATCACCTGGGAACCCTCAGAAGAATTTAAAAAGAACCATCATGTGATTAACACACCTGTGCAGACCATGTACATCATGGGGGACTTGGGACCTTATGGGAAGTAAGTAAAATCCGGAAGTCTTGATTTCCCTAAAGGAAACCCATCTTCCCTCCTTACCCAAATCTCCTGTCTGTTTCATTAGTAAAGGGGAAAGAATTCCAAGAGTTCAGTAACTTGGGCTGCATTTTATGCCTCTTTCCTCAGTTGGCAGGTAGCTGTATGTATCCCTCCAAAAGGCTTCTAAACCAATGTAGGAAAGTATGGATGTGTTTATTCCCTTCTGTACCTCCATGTGCCTTTTCCAGCTCTGCTGTTCCAGAGCATGAGAGTGTCCACTTTCTCTGTTTAGACTGTGCTTTCTTGATGTCTTCTTTTAGGCTTGGTCAGAGGGAGTATGAACATGTTCTTTGCACAATCAAGGTGGATGGCAATGGGGTGATCACAGTGAAGCCTGACTTCACTGGCACCAAAGGACCCTACCGGTGAGTGGGACAGGGCTGGTACCTCTCCTGGGACTGGGACTGGGGGCTGAAATGACAGTTTCCTGGTCACCCTTCAGGCAGGGGATCAGCACTTAAATTGAAAGATTTTTATTACTTTTATTCCAGAGATTTCTAAGAAGAGATTACTGTGTGCTTGTGCTTGGTGTCGCTGCATGTGTGGTGTGTGGGGCTTTGGTGCCAGTCCCTAGGGATGCAGGTTAGCATAGAATCATGGAATGATTTGGGTTGGAAGGGACCAGAAGGATCATCCAGTTCCAACCAGGTCCAGGGACACCTTCCACTGGCCCAGGTTGCTCCAAGCCCCATCCAACCTGGCCTGGGAGACTCCCAGTGATGGAGCAGCCACAGCTTCTCTGGGCAACCTGTGCCAGTGCTTCATCACCCTCATAGGGGAGAATTCCTTCCCAGTATCCCATCTAGCCCTGTCCTCTGGCAGTCGGAAGCCATTCCCCGTTGTCCTGACACTCCAGGCCCTTGTAAAATGATGTTATGCATATGCCAGACAAAAGTGAGTCTTCCTTTTTTTGAGGGAATGATTCTGGCATGCACTTGGGAGTGAGGAGAGGGCTGTGACTGCCCTAGGGAGTTAGGAGAGTGCCATGAGTGCCCTTGGGAATGAGGAGAGTGCTGTGAGTACCCTTGGGAATGAAAAGAGGACTGTGAGTGCCCTTGTCTCACTGAACAAGCCTGGCAGAGGGGACACTGCTGGGTCAGGGGACACTGCTAGGTCCAGAGAGCACTGTCAATGCCTGTGCCTATTGTCTACATAATGGGAGAGTTTCTTCCACATGTTTTGGGGCTCTGCAGGATCAAACTGGATGGAGAGAAGCGAGAGGTGTGGGAATACACCATTGAGAATGCCTCTGCCCAGGTGCAGCCAGAGGAGGAGGAGCGCGAGCAGCGCATGTTCAGAGATGTAAGGACCAGCCACTGAGTGTATTCACTAGTTCTGACTGAGAGAGCCAGCTCAGACCCTCGTGCAGATGTAACTGCTAGTGTTATGCACACCTCAAGTTTGCAAAATGTTTCTGACAGTGAGCCTCATCATGCTCAGGAATTTGAGAACTCCAGCAAATTCTCCTTGACTGCTTCATTCCTTGCTCCTGACAGAGGCCTTGGGCAGTACTAGCTGTCCTGGCCTCTGCCTGCAGTGGAGTGAGAACTGCTGCAAGAAACTACCCAAATTCATGCCCTTCTAGTGTCACTTGCCAGTGTTTTTCCTTCCCTTTGGAGCACTGGGCAAACTCTTCCCTTGATCTTCCTCTTGCTGCCTGTATATTTATTGAATGATTTCTTGTTACTCCTAATATCTCAGGATATTGGGATATCATTTCAGGTCTGCATCTTTCTGAATTGCCTTTTTGGCTATGACAATTTAGAAAAGTACCTAGTGGTTCAGTTTTTCATTTGTACATATCCTTACTGGTTTTG